TTTTTTTTTTTGGGTTATTGTCCCCTTGGTTCCCACTGAATAGCCTTGTGGTGGTGAAGGAGGAGAGGAGACTTGCTGGGGAGCTTTTTGCCCCCTGTTTGGATAAGAAGGAGCTCTTGTCTTAGCATTAACTAAAATGAATATCTAGTCAGCTTCTGCTGAGAAAGCATCTGTAATAGTTAACAGCGACCTTTGCTACCATGGATCCCTTGGGAACACTTCCGTGCAAAATGTATGATAAGCTGTGTAGGAGGTCTTTCCTGATATAGATCTTGAATGAAAAATTTATCAGCGATGTCTTCGTGGGATCATATCATCTCATGCACGATTTCATTCTAAAACCCTAGTTGCAGCATTGGCTCGCTTTCATTATGCATAAATGATAGAGGTTATATATTTGATTAACACTATGATTATGGCTTCCACTTATTCTCTTTACTTAATGAAATAAGGTATCTGTCAGGGCCTAATTATAATTTCTAATTTTTTTTTTTCCTATTGCAGTTCATTTTCACTTGTATAATTTTTGTACCTTATTCGGCTCATCTACAATATAGGCTTGCAAAACTGGAGGTATGTTTTGTCTTCTTAAAATCACATTTCAGTTTCCTTGGATAGATTATTTATCCATATTTACAATTGCTTAAATTGCAGGGTGAGAAAATTAACCTGTGCTGTGAAAATGATATTTGTCACAAGAATGGAAGGGCTCTTTAGGAGAAGATGATGCTTCGTTTTCCAATATCCAGAACACTCACAGTAGAAAAGTTGCTTTGTACATTGTGGTGGCCACACTCATCTTGCCATTTTTGTTATACAAATATCTTGACTACCTTCCTCGAATAATCTATTTGTTCAGGAGAACTAATAACAAGGAGGATGTACCATTAAAGAAGAAAATTGCTTATATGGTAGATGTATTTTTCTCCGTATATCCTTATGCAAAGCTACTTGCACTTCTCTTTGCAACTCTATTTCTTATAGGATTTGGTGGTTTAGCATTGTATGCGGTGACTGGTGGTAGCCTTGCTGAAGCTCTTTGGCATTCTTGGACTTACGTAGCTGACTCAGGAAATCATGCCGAAACAGAAGGAACCGGGCAGAGGATTGTCTCTGTCTCTATTAGTTCAGGAGGCATGCTGATATTTGCTATGATGTTAGGTCTGGTTTCAGATGCTATATCAGAGAAGGTGGATTCACTCAGAAAAGGGAAGAGCGAAGTTATAGAAATGAACCACGTACTCATTCTTGGGTGGAGTGACAAATTGGTAATCTGCTCTGTGTTCTCTCCTCTCTCTCTCTCTCTCTCTATATGTGTGTGTGTGTGTATGTGTATATTTGTCATTTAGCCCAGAATGTCATGTTAATCACCTTTGTTGGGGGTGGGGGGCATAATTTATCCTCGTGTGTATACACTTCTTGCATGCTAAACATTTTTCTTTTTAATAGTTCTCTTTTTCTGAGATTGCCTATGTAATATTCTTTTAAGTAGGTATAAAAAAATAGATGCTAATAAATTATAATTGAATGCAGGGTTCTCTTTTGAAGCAGCTGGCAATTGCAAATAAGAGTGTGGGTGGTGGCGTTATAGTGGTGCTTGCAGAAAAGGAAAAGGAGGAAATGGAACTTGACATAGCAAAGCTGGAATTTGACTTTATGGGAACATCAGTTATATGTAGAAGTGGCAGTCCTCTTATACTAGCTGACTTAAAGAAGGTATGAACTGGTGTTTTTTTTTTCTATCATTTAGGCATGTGTCACATTTGCCAAAACTAATTTACTGCTTCAGCGCAAGAAATAATTGTTTGGTTTCTCTTTTCTAACTTTTTGCCTCACTAGTTGTTCTTATCATACTGAATCTTTTTTCTCAGGTTTCAGTTTCAAAGGCACGTGCTATCATTGTGTTGGCTTCCGATGAAAATGCTGATCAGGTCATTCATCATTTCATTTTACTTTCATTTGACCTGTTAGGTGATGCTTGTATTTCCTGAGGACATTCTCCTTTACTAATGTTTTATTCATGTCTGTCTCCAGAGTGATGCTCGTGCTTTGAGAGTTGTTCTTAGCCTCACAGGAGTAAAGGAGGGTTTAAAGGGCCCTGTTGTGGTGGAGATGAGTGACCTTGATAATGAACCCCTCGTCAAACTTGTGGGCGGAGAACTTATTGAACAGTAGTTGCACATGATGTAATTGGACGTCTGATGATTCAGTGTGCTTTGCAGCCTGGCCTTGCACAGGTTATAAAAGAAAGCATCCCTGTAGTAAACTTTACTCAAAATGGGGGATCCTATCTCTAGTAATAGGAGCTGGGTGATAAGATCAGCTTCATCCATCTCATGTTGAGTTGTTCCTATTTTCTGCTCTACTTGTTTGCCTAAGTAGAATATGCTTGCTAAGTGAAATCCAGAATTTCTTCTTAATTATCCGCAACCCTGTGCATTTACTTGGATTCAAAATTTTCAGGATCCCCCTCACCAAAAAGAAACCGCTCACCAAGAAAATTTTCAAGATCCCATTAAAAAAATCAACAATCACATCAATTATTAGCAAAATAAAACTGCGACTCATTTTAATTTTATATAATATACTGATCCAACAACTAATTAGCTAAATTCTGAAAGTGCTCTTTGTAAAATAATTGCTGTTGTCTAGACTGGGGAAGTCACAACCTGTTTTTTTAAATATTGCCACGAGTGTGATGGACTTTTCTTTATTGCATCAGATTTTTATATGACCTTCTTTAAATTTGAAGTGCTGTTTCATTTGTTTTCTTCTCTCGATCAGATATGGGAAGATATACTGGGGTTCGAGAATGCTGAGTTTTACATCAAAAGGTGGCCTGAACTGGATGGTCTATGTTTTAAAGATGTACTGATTTCATTTGCTGATGCAATACCCTGTGGAATTAAGGTGGCTGCAGAAGGGGGAAAATTATTATAAATCCGGATGATAGTTATGTCATGAGAGAAGGGGATGAAGTTCTTGTTATAGCTGAGGATGATGACACTTATTCTCCAGGACCTCTTCCAGAGGTTAACTTTCTATTATTCTAACTCTATATTGCTGCACTGGGTTTATTCAGTATGTTTACTGATTGGAGAAATGACTAGGTTTTATTTTTAATTCAATGATTGCTGGTCACTTGTGTAATAATTTCCATAGCCAGACAGCCACAATAGCTATTAGCACATTGTTTTAATCTCATAATTTGTGCAGGTACGCAAAGGTCATTTTCTAAAGATACCTGATCCACCAAAATATCCAGAGAAGATATTATTTTGTGGCTGGCGGCGTGATATTGATGATATGATTATGGTAATTTTCTATATTGTGCTCTCTCCATAGTACTGCCCTTTATCACCCTTATCTGTTTAATAAATTGGAGTACTACGCCAGTCAATTTGATGCAGGCGAAGAACTAATTCAGATTTTTACCACATAAGGTCAATTTGATGCCAATGTTTAAAAACTCTTGATATCAATTAAATTACTAAAGAAGATTAAGTATGCTAATGTTTTTATCAAAGATTGTTTTTTGGAAACAAAAGACTAGCTAGAAAAAGCCAAAGACAGAAACTTGATATTTTTCGTGGTCTATTATTCAGTTAATAACTAATACTATATTACAAGGAGGGGGTAGTCTTGAGAACAATTGGATCTCATCATTTTATGTTTTTCCATCATGTCCAACAAAATCTTTATTGAAGTCAAGGCACACAAAACACACACATGCACATGCACGCACATACAAGATCTTCTCAAAGAGTTTGTATGCAAATCTTGAAGCTTAAAGCAAATTGCAAAAGTGAACTATGCTCTTTATCCCACCGATAGACCTCGTGATGATGGTAGATTGTCACATGCATGTAATATATCCATGTCCCACAGATTTTTTGCCCACATTCTGACTTTCCCATTGCCCTTGAATTCCTTAATCAATCAATTGGAATTTTTTAGGTTCTTGAGGCGTTATTGGCTCCTGGGTCAGAACTGTGGATGTTTAATGAGGTTCCTGAAAAGGAAAGAGAGAAGAAGCTTATTGATGGTGGACTTGATGTTTCTCGCCTACTGAATATAAAACTTGTTCATCGGGAGGGAAATGCTGTGATTAGACGGCACTTGGAGTCTCTTCCTTTGGAGACTTTTGATTCAGTAAGTTTAAAAATCCTCTTTTCTTCTTGTTTTTTAATAGGGCGCATTGGTTTCATGGGATCTGTGTAACCATGCTTAGGGGAATAAGGCTTGTTGGTTGTTTTTTCTTCCTGGCTTAATCCTCAACCTGGAATATGTGTATGAATTTTCATATTCACTGATCTCATGAGGGACCAACCATAAAGTGTAATTTTAAACCGAACTGAGCTATTCTATGATGAGATAAATGATCAAATTTTATTATAATGGATAGGATAGGAACTCTAAGTGCATGTTTGGTTCTATTTTTGTTTTACTATTTTGAAAAATAGTTTTCTAAAGTCATTTGTAAACAATAACAACAATAAAACCTTATCCTATTAAGTGAGATTAGCTTTATGAATTACACAATATCATTGTGCTTGATCAACAATCAATTTGAAGTCATTTCTAAACAATTTAAAAATAAAATTAGCAATTCACCGGGGCAAAAAAGTGAGAATTCCACCCAAAAAAAAATTGAAATTACTAAATCCCAAATAAGGAATTCCTACAAAAATGTATTGTTATTTGCAAATCTAGTATTGTCAAAACCCATTAAATTGTTATTACCAAACCTGACTTGAAATTTAGCAATTTCAAGCTTCTTTTTCAATAAAATTAGCAAACATGTTTGGATAATTTGATCTTAAAAAGTCTTTAAAATAATCATTTGACTCCTGTTTGACATCTTCTGTGGTGTGCCTGTGTGAAGTTATATTGTGCGCGCGCATGCACTTGCAAGGGGTGTTTGACGTATTAACATGTCCATGTGGTGTTGCATTTTTTCTATATGAATACGCCATGTCATGTTTCTTTAATAACCCAATTACCAAGCACAAATTATTGGTTATCTTATGAGTCCATTTCATCTTATAATCTTATTCAAAATATATAATAATATGAAAGAGATCATGGGTTCATATTTTACTAAAATGTCATCAATAATTTGCTGGGTTCAAGCTTGTCACCCTAAGAACATGCACTCACAAATTTATGTGAACTGTATCTGTTTCCTGTTTCCTGTTTCAGAAACAATTTAGAAAAGGAGAAAACGTATGTATAGTTTTAATGTAATTGCTATCAGGTTCTCCAATGAAAATGAGAGAAGAAATGCACGATTATTACAACTTAGTATCACATGATTGAGCCTTATGTTTCACAACACAATAGAACTTGGAACATTAAATAGAACTGCTAACTTCGTCACACATGCAAATGGAAACTTTTTTCAATTGTATACTAATTCTGAGGACAGATCCTTATTCTTGCAGATGAATCAGTAGAGGACTCCGTTGCTCATTCTGATTCCAGATCGCTAGCCACCCTTCTCCTCATTCGTGACATACAGGTACAACTTTGCTTATCATATGTTTCATATCAATGATCATCGTCAAACTATTATCCTAAAAGAAACAAACCTTTTTCCTTTTCTGCTTTGCAGTCAAGACGTCTACCTTACAAAGATTCGAAATCAAGTACTTCTTTGAGGTTGTCTGGGTTTTCTCACAGCTCTTGGATCCGCGAAATGCAGCAAGCTTCAGATAAATCAATTATAATTAGTGAAATTTTGGATTCTAGGACTAGAAATTTGGTGTCTGTTTCCAGAATCAGCGATTATGTGTTATCAAATGAGCTGGTTAGCATGGCGCTAGCTATGGTGGCTGAAGACAGGCAAATCAATCGTGTTCTTGAAGAATTATTTGCCGAGGAGGTATTTTGTCTGCCCTTGTTTGAAATCCTTTGCCTTGCTTCGGTCACAACCTTTGCTTGATAGATTAATTTCCCCGAAATGGCTCATCCTCTGAACTTTTGAGTTTTTGTTTTAACTTCCAATGTTGTGTGGGGAAAATTTTAAATGGTTTGGTTTAAAATAGCCCAATTATGATATTTGTTCTTATGGCAGGGCAACGAGATGTGCATTAAGCCGGCGGAGTTCTATTTGTTTGACCAAGAAGAACTCTGTTTTTATGATATAATGTACAGAGGTCGTGAAAGGGGAGAGGTAGTTATTGGCTACCGCCTCGCTAACCAAGACTTCGCCGTCATCAACCCTCCAGAAAAGTCAGAACCTAAAAAATGGTCCCTTGATGATGTTTTTGTAGTCATTGCCTCAGGCGATTGATGGGGGGTTAGTACGATCCTTCTAGTTCCTTAATTTGTTATGACTGGATGCTTGCAGTAACCTTAACTTTCTTGACACCAGAAAGTAGCAACCTTCTCTTTGCTTGCCAACTGCGACAAACAATTAACTGGTAATGTAAAATCTGACAATATGGTGATGCTGATTCAAGAAAAAGGATATCAGCTCGTGGTTTTTTCTTTGTAGCGAAATTCTTTTGCAGCACGACTGCAATTTTGAATATGAAATAATCTTTTCTTTTCTTTTTAATCAAAAGGAGCCACAGTATGACTCTTCCTCCCATCCGAGGGCTTAAGTAAGTCTGAAATAATCTTCTCAAACTGATACTCTTCCTGTCCTAAATATAGGAGTATTATTTACATATTGCTCTTGTTTCTATATTTCATAACCACCCCCCCCCCCAAAAAAAAAGTTTCGCCCATATGAATTCTTTCTTCTCTTGTCGTAAATCACAACAAAGGCAAACGATAAATAGATTCTGTCCGGAGTATGTACAGACGACATTATTTTAGAGCTCTCGTCGTAAATACATATGATGGTCAATGAACAGATTGAAGGAAGAATTCCTTGAAAATTTTTTTTGAAATTAATAAATCTCAGATAAGGAATTACAATAAAAATGTGTTGTTATTTGTAAGTTGACAAATCATATTAAAATATTATTAGCAAACGTGATTTGGGATTTACCAATTTCACACTTTCTTTTTTTTACAAGGATTCTCTCATTCTAAAATAACAGAACAGGGCACAAGTTCTATATAAATATGCAAATGTTGTGAGTCATGGGTACTAAAGTGTAGTTTTTGCGACATTTCTTAGCATGAGAACATTGTTGGAGACAATAGCAATATGCAGTTTCATATGTGGTAATATTCTCTAGTGTTATTCCTAACCATATACTACCTTTAGTCTTTATATAAGAACTAGTTAATTAATTTAAGTAGATTAAAAAAATAATCAAGTTAGTTATTTGTAATAAATAGATGTTATCTTTTCTAAAATATTTTTGCTAATCAAGTGTATCGATTAGAACTATCATTATTATAAAGACTACTTTGAAAAATAGATAAATATAATAGACAAAATGGATTAAAATCTTATATTTAGAACTAAAATAAAAATCAAACAAGTTCTTATATTAATAATCAGAGATAGTATATAAATACATGAATATTGGTTCTAATTCTCACAATCTTTGTGAGGGAAAGGCATTAGAGAAAGAAACTGCTTCCTTCTTGCAAGCACCTTCTTTTTCTTTATTATTGCTTGAACTATGATAAATATCAGAAGCATAGGGTGCTAGTTTCTTCTTTCTGCATTCATATGGGATCAAACTCATAATAATTTTTTACTTAACAATTAATATTCCTTGTGTGAGAAAGAGATATTGCAATAGAGTAGAAATAAATAAAATACCTATTTTAACGGCGTTTCTTGAGAAAAGATTGGAGTGAATGCCTTCTTTTGCCATTGGGATGCCTGAACACAATTAATTAAATTTCCTATTATTAATTTCCTAATCACAATCATTAGTTTGTTCCGTTCTCACACAAAGTGTCCTGCTTAATATTCATAACATTAAAAAATGAATTTCTAAACATCCAACATTAATTAGCAGCTTACGTTTCGGACCCTTCTTGTAATAACAAACTACACATGGAGAGAGAGGTGTATGGTACATGAGTTGGTGGTTGTTTGTCCATTTTTGGAGTTGTAGTATTGGTTTATGAGCTTTCACCAGCAAGAAGCATAATAACTTGACCTTAATCAAAACCAATTATTAAGTGATTAATTATTAATTAATACCAATAATCAATTAATTACTATGTTGTGGCATAAAAAAATTAAAAAAGAAAACCTTATCAAGAGGAGCATGATCATAGACACGTGAAGAGCACCATCATGAAATATCGTGAGTTGGTCAGGTGAACATGATCTGACCTCTGCCGCTGTTAATGATGACATTAATTCTCCTTAACAATGATTCTCAATCTCTTTTGTTTTCTAAATTTACAATTTTTTTTCTTAAATTATTCTTATTGATGACATATATTAAATGAATTCTCTGCAAGAGGTGGTTCTATTACAAATGATTACTAGGGATATGTTAAGAAAAGTAACATACCTTTTTTACAATAAACTAACTTCTTAATTTTTATAAATTAATTATCTACTTTTTATATTTAGGATCGCCCAAGACAGGTTCTTATATATTACTTACTTGTTTGTTACTAAAACCTGTCCGACTGAATACCTTATTCAAGAATCTTTTTTATCTAATTCAAAGGAACTAATAGAAAAGAGAAATCCTTATGATACGCAAGGTAATTAAATTCATTGGTAATTAATCAAAATCCACACCTACCTTTTCCGGGCAAGAAGCTTGGTCTCAAGAAAAGGAGGTTTATTTTTAAACAAAGTGGGATTGATTAATTTGAATTCATGTATATTATTTGTTGATCCAATGTTGTTGTGAGGCCTTGAGAGAAGATACTTGTTGAACAAGCTTATGGTTTGTGACATGTTTTTGTCTATTTTTGATGATCTCATCAACCCATCAGATCTCTCCCAATCTCCTTCGGTCATCATGTTCCTGTTTGCCAAACCTCAAAATTGACATTATAAATTTATAAGAGTAAAGTAACATTCAGTATCCTAATCTTATTTTTTAGGTACATTCAACACTCTAATCTTATTTGTGTTACATCCAGTATCCTGATATTATTTTCTTCATGTATTAAGCACCCTGATATTATTTTTTTAATTATGTCTAATATCCTAATCTTTAGGATATTTGAAGCATAAAAAAATTGACATCATGGTAGTGGATGCACAATAAATAATATCGAGATGTTTGATACTACTTTACCCAATTTATAATCTCTTATTCGTTTAAAGAAGAAAAAAAAAAGAAAGTCTTGTCGAATCAACATATGAGATATAGAGTTTAGGATATGTAATACATCACATTATTCTTCATACATTATAACTTAGAATCGTATTGCAAAAAAAAAAGTCTAATTTGTGTGGAAAGAGAGAAAGAAATGAAGTTCTCAGAATCACTACAAAAAATTAATTACCTGCACAAAGTTGTGGGCATATAGTGAACGATGTTTGCTTAGTTCTGAGAGCATGAGGTTTTAGATATAATCAAACACTCAAAGAAAGCAAACGCTTAAATGTGCATGTGGGTTTGAATGGAACACATGTCTCTGGTTGAGAAAAAGAATTGTGAATAACGCCTAGAAACGACGTCGTGTTGATGCTTTTGAAACTCTTTTGACCTTAGCTTTGTGTATCCATCTGCGGATCCATGCACACCCATTTAAATTTTCCACTTCGGTCCCTATTAGGCTATTATTTGTCTTCTGATAGCGAAAAATACTCCAAAATCATTATACTTATATTTTGATTGATTGAGACTCTCACGTTTAGTTTTCACAAAACCAACCACCCTCCGATTCTGTTAGGAAGATCAAGGATCTTACAATGTAGAATTGAATTGTTATTTTTTAATTATATTTTTTAAATAAGCAAATAAATGTGTGAATTGACTTGCTCGCCAAAATATATCATAAGAACTTGTTAGAATCCTTCAAGGATAGGGACGTTTTACGTTCTGTTGTTGTCTAATTTTGTTGCCCTTTGCACTGCTTTTTCATGTGGCCTTGTATGTCTTTGAGGAAATAAAATTAAATTCCAAGTTGGTGAGAATTCTCTTCAATAGGGAAAAAATATGGTTGAGATACCGTGAAACTAAAAGTTAGCAATGATGTTTGCAGAAGCAGTGCCAAAATTATATTACAAGAAAAGTAATCAGGAAACTTAAGCTTTTATAAAATAAGCTGCTGACAAACACAATGCCCTATTCAAATTATAAGAAGACTGGGGGGATGCAGAATTATTCAAATTCGCTCTTTTGCTTTCATAATCCCTGAAGTTAATGACCATCATACGCTGAGGAAAGTAAAAGTCAGTCAAAACAACTCAAGTAACATAAAATTCAGGTTGTTTTGACAGTAGTGAAACAAATCAAAAGCAAAAACTACTTCATCAGAGTCTGAACAGCAGCAGAAATGGAATTAGTACGAGTACCAAAAGTTTTACGCTGATGATTCAGTGAGTTTGGACCACTCCATACAGATACACTGCTTTTAGGAAACAGAGCTGCACATAAGCTGGAAAGCTGAGGGTTATCATAACAAAATTTCTCAAGCAACTTGGCTCTCTCCTGTTTATTCCGGGATTCCTACAAACAGAGTAAACAATATTTATAACTTGCAGGTTGCAACTACAGGTAACAGAATAATTGTATTAGTGACAAGATATCTAGATGCAAATTTAAGGTGTCATCATGAAATGTAAGAACAATTAAATTGTAAAAGACTAAAAATTGTCCCCATATTTTAATTTCATTTCACAATTCAGCAGCACAAATCTAGAGAACTTCACTTGAATCCTATCCAGTCCAACAATAAAAAGGAATCGTACACCACAGCATATAGAATTGAAGATGTCAGGTAATGCGGACGATATCATAATGAGTAGTTTGAAGTACCTTGAGCTTCTGTTGCTGGATAGCCAAAGCTTGTCCTTCTTGTTGTTCTCCTTTAACAGCAGTCTCATCTCCAGGATGTAACGGCTTGAGATTCTCACCCTTGTGTTTCTTCTGAATGCCTCCCTCAGTCTCTTCATCTTCCTCCTCTCCATCCTCCTCCACCTCCCCTTCTTCCTCATCATTGTCGTCATCTTCATCTTCATCATCCCCATCATCAGTGTCCATGTCCTTTTGCTTCCCCTCAGAAGGACTAAACTGTTTGTCACCAGCCTCCGTTTTCAGTTCCTCTCCTTTTTCCTCCTCAACATCCCCATCAGTGCTCTGAGATTCATCCATATTTGAGGATGAATCCTCGCTTCCAGGGCTATCTACCTGCATGGATTCCTTAAAAAACAAGGCAAACAATACAAATCATGTATGTTGGCATATAAAGCAAGCCAGTTTTATTCTTTTCATTCTCAGATGAATAGTTACAATAAGTGCAAGTTCTTTTTTATCTTTATCAGGGCCATGTACATTATTCCTTGACTTTAAATGCCCTTACGATGCATATCATATAAATATATGGGCTCACTATGAAGTAGGAGAGTTAAATGCGTTGCAGCCAACTCCATATTTGTATTTGACGATATAAACTTAATAAGCTATTATGCATCCTAAATTACTTTCAAATTTCTAGACACATTTCTAAACAGATAAAACGTTAGGGTATAAAATTATTTATACCATACCTCTTGTTTCTCTCTGGCATGTCTATCATCGCCAGATCCAATACTGGCCTTGGCAATTCGGGCACTCTCTTCCCTTTCCCTTCTCCGGCGCTTTAGAACACAAATAGCACATAAACAATCGTGTTTGTGGCGTCTTCTGAAAGTAAATAATTTCTATTAACCAATCAGTGTGTATTTTAAAAACGTCAGCACTCATTTCAGAAGAAGAAAAACAAGAAAAAAAAAAAGTAGGATACAATATAACTGCAAGGCAACCACGGTGAAAACGTCATGGTTCATGGAAAAAACATCTATTAAAGAATTGCCCAAGCTTACACCATAATGGCACTAAAAAACTCAAGGCAGAGCATCTTGAAGGAATTTCAATTACCCATGCCCATGCTATGAAATAATTTACTTAAAATTTATAATGCTCCTGTTCAAATAACCAGCCTGACCAATGAGATTCTAGGAAACATTAAATTTCACCATTAGATAGATTCTAGAATTGAGTGAAATAAAGTTCAAATCCATGCTTGACAAAAAGATTGGAAAGAAAAGATCTAAAGTTCCGAGTATACAAGACAAGATAGCATGAGATACAATGAAATGCAGGTACCTATTTGACACAAGTGTTAGTAGCTACTCATATTTTGCTGAATAAGAACCACTAACCATTTTCAAAGCTCCTATAGAGTAGGATATCTTCATAAAGTTGTTGGTTTTGTTTATTTAATGAAGACAACAAAAAAAAATTTCAACAAGGGATTTGATCATGGCACAATTACCTCTGCATAAGCATAATTACTACAAAGGTAAAATAGTAGTTAACAAGGAAGAAGGCAGTTCAGGAATACACACCCATGACGCTTTTTTGACTTTTGCTTCGCTTGACTGCCCTTCGCTACTTTTCCTTCACCAGACTGTCCTCCATCATCTGCTGAAGTTCAAGTGAAAAAAGCAAGCTCAAATAGATACCAGAGTACCATGGCACAGTATCTTACAAAATAAAAATCCTCTCAAGGTTCAAAAGGTTATGCAACAGGAAAACAAGTTTTGACATGCACAAGACTAGGATAATAAACAGAAAATTTTCTGAACGTCCCAGCAGAGTACCAACAGCAAAAAATAAAATCACTTGTATTCTGTCTACATTCCACACAAGAACACTGATATTCTGCCTTCATATCCAATTTCCTAGCTTTTTATCCAACACAAAGAAGGGAAGCTGAAGTAAAAGAAAAGAAAGGGAAAGGGGCAGATGATAAATAGAAAAAGGACAAAATCATGTCTCCATTCCACACAAGAACATTGACATTCTGTCTTCATATCCAATTTTCTAGCTTTTCTCCAAGACAAACAAGAGGAGCTGGAGTAAAAGAAGAGCAAGGGAAAGAGGCAGATGATAAATAGAAAATGGACAAAATCATCTTTTTCCCCTCAAGAGCATTTTTTTACAAATATTAATACAGAAAAAGAGGGAACGAAAATATCAACATTTCCAGCCAATCAGCTATGTTTTAGGGAAAATGATATAAAAGAGCATAACAGAACAACATCAATTGAACACTTTGCTGCATACATCATATGCATCAAAGAGAAAGGGATTAACCTTTTAAACTAAAAAAAAGAGCATATATAGAAACCACCACACCTCTAGGTCCTCTCGATTGTTCACTGTATAATCCAGCTGCACTCCAGTACTTCATAAAATTCTTCTTCACTCGCCTCATAAGATCCAAGATATAGTCACCCTTATTGTTATACTTGTAACAATTGCTCCAAATGTATTGAACATCTTTAAATACGTCCTCTGAATTCATATACTTGTCATTCCTTTCGAGATTGCTGCATATAGTTCCAAAATCCATTGGCGTGTCTATAATATCAAAATAGTCCTGGTTCCAGGCAGCATAGTCAATAGCATTAGACAGAAAATCATAATCAATAACGTATTCCCTTTTTTCTTAAATTTTATAATGAATCATAATAGCCTCCAGGACCAAATTTAGCAACAATTAACATTCATTAAACAATTACAGACATCCAATAAATAGTTCACACGAAACACATTGAGTTAGCCAGTAAATTAAATTTTAACTTCACTTTTGGCAAATTTTTCCCTTGAAGGTGGGCTAAGTTAAGTTAAGCAGTGAAAAATTCTAAAATAAGAATGATGCCAATAAATATCTGTAGAAAATTACAAAAAGAAACCACACGCTGTGAAAAATGAAAGCACAAAATCCAAGCTAAGAAATCAACAAATAAACCACCTCAAAAAGCTTTGATCATTTTGGATCCATTTGGCATCATATCAGAGGAGTTTCATAATGTCTAGGAGAAGAATCAATAAGGGACTTAAACATAACTTGAGAGCCACCTACAGAAAGCAGATTCATCGGAAAGCCTACTTGAACATGTTTGTACTTACAGGGATTCCCAGAGCCTCAGGATTTACAGGAACATTAAAAGGTTCGGCAGCATCCATCCTCATCACCTTTCTTATAACCTATGAAAAGAGAGCGGGTGGAGACAGGATCCAAGGTACAGATGCATTAATAATTGAAATTGTAGGCCTGCATGATTAAAAGGAAACAATCTGCAAAACCATAAAACAAGGAAAACCAATATGAAAATCTTCAACGCACCACTAAAGCAGCATCCAATTCTTGCTTATTGTATCGTGGATTTTTTTTAGTGGCATTGGTTTCTTTATGATGAGTATGACCACCCGATGGGGGCAAAACTTTTCCTGTCTGGCTAGAACTTGATCCCAAGACCTTTGATGACTTAATTTTTATGCTCCCAGCTTTCTTTGAGAGAACACTCAATTTAATCTCAGGCAATGAATTAGCACTGTCTTCCGTTCTCTCAGTATTTACACCTTGTTTCTCAAGCCCTTGATGCTGGCTACTCTTGTCAGTATCGCTTTGAGTAGGAGCATCAGAAGAAGTAAGCTGGGAATCTAACATTTTTGACGTCCTGAGCTTCACTTTAACACGCCCAACCGATTTCCCTGCTGCCTTCTCAACAGAACCATCAGGATTTATGCTGGCAAGGTTGTAATGGTGGTCTGTCCCAGTCGAGGAAGGCGTATCAGCTTCCATTCCAGAGTCAGATTTATTGTTACCATATTCATCCAAACCAGATGCTTCTTCCTTATTTCCGCTCGTCTCATTAGCACTGATTACAGGGGCAACTTTGCTCTTCGCTTTCTTATTCCCACGCTTGCGTTTCATATTCTAATTAGATTCCTGAGCAAGTTTAAGAATAGACAGAGTCAAACTGAAAGAACCAAACCGCCATCTAAAGAATAATACACTAGGCATCACTCTAAATTAATCTTGCGCTAACAAATGTTTTGCAGAAAGATATCCTTTTTCCTTTATCTTCTTTTGTCCTCTCAGAACATTTCTGATGCAGCAAGGAGTATTCAGTCATAGAACCAAAGCTTTTGAACATGAAAACACAATAGATTTATCTAGAATAGTCATAATATCTCCCAAAAATGTTCGAATGGCGAAAACCCAGAAATCGACGCAACTTGAAGACATTACAACAAAACAATTAACCCCGAGTTCAAAAACAAGAAACCAAAACTTTACAGGACCACAATTATATACTATCAAGCTTCATAAACAGTGAATTTCATGTCGACCGGCTTAAAAACCGAAATTGAACAGAAACTTGAGGGGCGAACAATATCATTATAACAGTAGCAGCAAAAGAAACACAGAGAGGAGGAAATGCGTACCTTGAAAATCCGAGTGCGTGGTTAGTGAGTTCCTTTTATATGTTTTGGAAGGCGAAGCGAATTTATTTTTATTTTGTTTATTTATTTTTTAAGGATTTGTGAGGGGCTTTCGAGTTTTCGATTTAAGAGGGAATTTTGACGGCGATTACCAGTGCTGATTATGAAGACGACCCCAACGCCGAAGCGCTCAATAAGGGTTTGGATTTTTTGTGGTTGTTACTATTTCCCAATGGTTGGATTGGGCCCAAATTATCGGGCCGCTTGAAAGAACTAAAAGCCCAAAATTTGAACGCAGAGCAGCTCAAACTCAAAACCAAACACGAGTTAAAGTCCCTCTCTTCATTTTCCAAATGTATACATACACAATCCTTTAATTTTAATTATGATGACACATTCAACATGCTTTACTGAACCCAAATAAAATTTTGTGAAAACCATTCTTGAGGCACCGATTTTTTTTTTTTAATTTTGAATTTGATATATATAAATTTTTCTCTCCACATTAAATCATTTAGTTTTATTTTGTTAGTACAATTAGCTTTTGCGCATGGTCTAACAATGCTAATAGAGAAAAGTTATAAACATTAATGTAATTAAAAGAGTAAAATTAAAAGATTTGATAAAGAGAAAAAATAAATAAGGACCAAATTAAAAATTAAAAAAATAAATTCAATTTAGTAATTTTTTAGCATTACTTCTATTTAATATATATTCCAACAAAATAACAATCTATAGAATAATAAATAAAAGAGTACATTCATTCATATAATAAACTTTAACGAAAGGACTCATATAAATTACTCAAAAAAAAAAATACCCCCTTATAAATAGAATTGTAGGAATACATGTTAATCAATTTATTACTAAAATTGAATTCAGATAAATAACATCATTCAAAGTCCAACTTCCCTTTAGATTACAAGTTATCTAATAGTAGTTGTTGTTTTAATTGATAACACGTTTTTTTCGTTATAAAATTAGTGCAGTGCTTCTTATCTTAATATTATAAAATTTGTAGGCGGTAGCACCAAAATTCTCCAAGATCCAATAGATCTTCCACCTCCTCCGTAATACTAGGCAAACCCTGTTGACAGCAGCACCTGCAGAGAACGGTAAATCCGAGTCGTGTCTTACAGACACTGTCCTTAAGAGCTATTCTGCAACTACCGGCAAAGCAAGAAGCGGCACTCCCCAAGATTAAACGGATTCTTCCTGTAAGAACAGGGTGAGAAGAATAGCGAAAGGCAAAGAACTTAGTAAGACAGAACACCAGAGGAGAGAAGAGAGTTGCCAGAAAGCTCAGAGCACGGCGGTCCCTCTTTGAACTTTCGTCTCATGCCCCTTTTATAGGCTACGGATCACAATACCATTGGGCACATTTAAACGCGCTTAATGATAATTAACTCATAATTAAATGAGCGGTTTCAAGTAGTAATTAACTTGTTTAATGACTATTTAAGAAGAATAAAGTCCTCGGTTACAAACATTGAAGAGGCATAATTATAATTAAAATTTAGATAGATATTTCCAATAAAATGCCCAGTACTACATTTGACTCGTGCACAAGAGGGTGAGGGGAAATTGCCGGATTTGTCTCCGATGGCCCATTGTGCGCGTAAGTCCACTCCTCCTCTTGGCCCATTTGATAACCCAAGACTATTTATTACTTTGACCCTCACAATCCCAAGCAATGTGGGACTCTTCCTTTGACACACCCACACACATTATTTACAACAAAATTCATATCAAAGCTATTTAGATTAATCAGTAGAGTATATTCACCGTATTTTTTTAATTTTAAAAGACAGAAATAATTTTTTTATTACCAAGAAATAATTTTATTTTGAGTGTTTTTAAACTTCGTTAACTTTTAAGACCTGTGTAAATAACGTGAATATTATAGAAATTAAAACTCAAAGTTATAGTTTAAATTAAAAAATATATAATTACACTGCAAAGTGAATTAATGATATATCACTCATCATCCCACATTATCCCTGATCAATATATAAAAAATTTGAAATCTCTGAATGGGAAGAATAAAGCAATCCATTGTATGACAAATATTCAAATTATAGACAACACTTATAATCAAGGCAAGACAATGAAATTGAAATTTAAGATATCTATCTATAAAAATATATTATACATAAAACATATATAATTACAAATGAAGATCATGCAAGAACTTGAAACTAAGACTTTGAGCCTCAACCTAATTTCACAGTGCCAGCCCTTTTTTGAAAGAGTTATGAACACCATCATCCATTTATTCCTACACCTCTTTTTAATCAGCAAAACCTCTATATATGTCCCTAAAATTAATAAATCTAACCCCCAGAACAAAAAGAACATAGAAATTATGACTTTAAGCAAAAGAACATTAACAGCATTAATAGATTATATGCCCTAAAGAATATTAGAGAAATCAAAAGGGTTCAAGTTTCTCAAGCCAAAAGGTCTTGTTTGAAAGTGGGAGGACAAGGGTTTTGTTTCTCAAGGCTTTTGCTACTTGGAGGAATAATATTCTTAGAATATGAGGATGATGTCTGACTGTTGTTATCGTTGTTGTTGCTGCTGTTGCTGTTGTTATTGCTTTTTTTGTTATTTTCATATTGTGAGGCCGCAGGACGAGGAAATTCGGAGAGCATCTGAACCACTTCTCTCATTGTTGGCCTCACAACACTATTATCTTGCAAACACAACAAGGCAATGAATAACATATGCATCACTTCTTCCTTTGCAGGCACAGAGAGCTTCATGTCAATAATGTTCATAACTTCTTCTTTCCGTCCATTTGTTGCCTTCTTGCACCATTGCACTAAGTCAACACCATCTCCCAAATCTCCGACCGGTCGTCGCCCTGTTATTAACTCTAATAATACAACTCCAAAACTATAAACATCACTCTTCTCATCTACTCGTAGCGTGTAAGCATATTCTGCAATCCAAAAAAAAAATCAACAACCCATTAATTATGCATAAAAAACTTACACATGCATAGTCACTGGAATCAAAACTCAACAGTACATGAAATTTGAAATAACATAATATAATCAATTTTTACTTTCTTTTGGGAAAAAATAGGCCTAAGGTTAAATTAAGAGAAGACAAAAGCGTGGCAAGTTGCAAACAAAAAGCCAAAGAATCTGACAAAAGAAGAGCTCAGTGGGGAGCAATGTAGAGGTTTCCTTTCCACGTAAAAACAACATGCGCTCCACAATGATCCCTCACATCAATTTTCTCACATCACAATCTATCTACCTACTTATGTATCCTTGTGTGTGTGTGTTTTTGTGTGCGAAAATTTTTGGAATATTTTTTATTATTGTAAAGTTTTAATTCTTTTTAAAATAAATTTTAAATTTATTTCCATACAAATAGAATTAATTTCCTATTTTTTTGTATATTTAGGGAAAATAGCCACACAAAAAAGATCTTGAAAATAGGAAAATTGCAAATAGGGATTAGTTAAAATATTGGTATTAGTTTTGACAACAATTGATAAGTAAATGATAATAATTTTTAAAAACAGGTCTTTATATATAATTTTTTATTTTTAAGGTCTTTTTTTGTGATTTTTTCCTATATTTATAGTCAAATCAGTCGCAAATAATTAAAAAAAAAAAAAAAAGAGTGGAAGAGGAGGGAGACACGCGCGAGGGAGGCGCGTGGAGGGGGAAAATTTTGAAAACCCTGAAAGCTATGTGGTGTGCTGTTGGACTACTGGAGAGAGCAGTGCTTGCGTGCGTGCGAGAGCAATGATAGTGTAAAGATTCATTGACCTGTGAGAGACAGAGATTGAGGTGCGGCCCACCACACTAGATCCCTCTCCCCTTCCCTGTCATTTTCATTTAATCATCTTCGCCTCTCGAAAACATTCTCTTCCCTCTTCAAGAAATTCCATACGTATCCATCCTCCTGATCCAGAATCTTTACGGATCTCCAAAAAACCATTTTAAATTCCACAAAATACTCCTCCGATCCTTATTATAAGACCCAATTTGACTTTTTATTTGGTCTTAATTATAAGACCCAATCCATTTTCTCTCTTATATTTATGCATTTTTTTCCAAGATAATCCTTCTAATAATGATAGTTTTAGCCAATATACTTAATTAGCAAGGATATTTTAGGAATGACAACACTTATTTATTATAAATAACCAACTTAACTTACTTCCTTAATCTCCTCAAATAAGTCAATTGGATCTTATAATTAGGACCGGAGGAGTATAATATTTTCGGATCCTACGTATGAATCTAGGTTCGAATTAGGCTAACTCTAGCTTCCCCACTGTCTATAATTTCATGCTACACGTAGTTCTAAAAAGCAGTTCTTCAGTGTATACTTACAATAATAATAATAATAATAATAATAATAATAATAATAATAATAATAATAATTTCACCTTCACAGTATCAAGAATAATAGTAGAAAAATTGATGAAAATTTCCCGTTACAAATTTTTTTGGTCTAAAAGTGTCTGAGAAACAGGGCGGATGCAATTTTTTTTAGCTACATGCAACATACCTTTAGTTATATGCAAATATATTTTATTTTGTTTATAATTAAAAATAAACATGCTAAAGATAAGTTATACATTGATTCTTAAACAAACTTTAAATGCTATCTAGGTAATAAATTTTTCCATGAGGATTTTTTAGCAATTTTCTCAACAATAATAAGACTATTTAAAGAATATTGAATCAACATTGTATGCACAATTGCATTATTGACAATGACAAAAAAAAAATCTTGAAATGCCCATGAGGGCATTAGTTTTGAAAAGTATTTAAATTATAAATTATGGAATTAAATATAGGGAAAATTTGCAACTTTACATTATATAAAGTATGATGAACTCCATATGATTAAGAGTTTTAATAATAATACTTTCTTTTGTGCAGTCATGATTATAATAACATGGATTCTAAGCTTTCATGATTAACCTCTTCAACCATTTTTCTTTAAAAGAAAAAAGAACTCAAACAGAAACATGACATTATTATTGATCAAATTAAAAATAGTAGCGTATTTAGAAGAGACTAATTTTTCCCAAGAAATAAAAGTATTCTTTTTTAAATATTAAAATAAAATAAAAAAGCCTATGAGATTGATTGCTTCGATCCATTCCCTTGTGTGTGCCAGTATGATTCAATGATGCGATTCCCAGGCCAATCTGGTTCATCCCATCATTCCATCAAAGCAAACTTCACCGTTAGATTATCAAAGATCAGATCATACGGCTACAAATCAAGATCCTTGCCGTTTGATTGAAGCGGAACACAAGTTCAGTCAAACGGTAGTAACTATCAACGTGACCCTTAGATTTAACCGCGCAAGTTCACCCTTAACTAACTAAACTACCTCAGTAACTACCTACCAACCAACCCCCACGAACTGATCTATCTCGATGCAAAATGGAATATAATGTGAATTAGATTCTATAGGATCTAGTGCAGATCATGGAACAATAAAATTGTTGCTTTTGAAAAATAAGTCTAGGAGATTATGGGACATTTAAATCCAATCCTGTGTGTGAATATAGTAGCATTTACGCCAACTTGAATCTCAGACGTGCATGCATTCTTATGGGAGAATATGTTGTTTTCAACTTTACGAGGGATCATGGTTTTGTCTTTACTGAATTTGATTTTTGTGATCTATATAAATTTGAGTGTGAGAAAATGGAATCGCATGAACAGAATTTGGAGGAAGAGGATGATGAAGGAACGTACCGGGAGCGATGTAGCCATAAGAGCCTGCAATGGTGGACATGTACTCGGAATTCCCGCTATCGATCAAGAACTTGGCGAGTCCGAAATCGGCCACATGTGCTTCAAAGCTCGAATTCAAGAGAATGTTGTTCGATTTCACGTCTCGGTGAACGATCAACGGCGAGCAATCGTGGTGGAGATAGCACAGACCCTTTGCCGCATCGATCGCGATCTTGTACCTTAAATTCCACCCAAGAAATGATCCCTTTTTCCCGTGCAGTGCCTCGCCCAAGCTGCCGTTTCGCATGTATTCGTACACCAGGAGATTTGTTTCTCTGTTGGAGCAGAACGCGAGCAATCTCACGATGTTTCTGTGTCTGATGTTGCCTAGGGTTTGAATCTCGGCTCGGAAGCCATGGTCGTGACTGTTGGCGCCAAATCCTAGAAGCTTCTTCACTGCGATTTCAACTCCGTTTGGCATTTTCCCGTGGTAAACGATGCCGGCGCCGCCTCTTCCGATCACATTGCCGTCTTTGACGCATTCGAGGATGTCGGAGACTGTGAACTCGAGTTTCTGAAATGCCGTCATTTTCCATGAACCGGGGCCGTTCTTTCTGAACGATTTGGCTTTGATTATGGCTGCGACGGCGAACACTAAGGAGCAAATTAGAAGGCCAAGTGCGAAGATGAGCTTGAAATCTGCAGAGCTTTTCCCTGGAGGGTTTGTGATTGCGGTGAAGTTGCAAGGGTTGTTCAGGAGAGAACCGCAGAGTTGAGGGTTACCGGCGAAAGCTGAGGCATTGAAGAAGGCGAACTGCCCTGTTTCTGGCAATTTGCCCGAGAAATCATTGAAAGAGAAATCTGCAGTAGTGAGACTCTTCATGGTGCCAATTGACTTTGGCATGGTTTCGTTCAAATGGTTTCTTGACAAGTTCAGATAATTCAGAATGCGGATATTGGATATCTCATTTGGGATTGATCCGGATAGGTTGTTCTGGCTCATGTCAAGATAAGTGAGATGGAAACAGTTTCCAATTTCAGGTGGAATCTCTCCTGAAAATGAGTTCCTGCTAAGGTCAAGCCTTAGAACTTGATGGAGTTGTCCAATGGAAGAAGGGATTGGACCGGAGAATTGGTTTCCACTGAGCGAAAGCATCTGAATGGAAGAGAAATTTGAGAGCGAATCCGGTAAAGGACCAGATAAGCTGTTATTTGACAAATTGAGCTGCCCTAAGTTAACGGGCTGAGAGGAGCTATTGCCATTCTCTGACAAAGTTCCTGACAAGTAGTTGTTCTGCAACTCCGCAAAATTTAGGTTAGGAAGGTAAAGGAAACCATCGGGAATGCTTCCATTGAGGTAGTTCTGTCCTAACCTTACTCTAGTGAGACTGTAACAAGTTCCCAGACTTTGTGGTATGGGACCAAAGAGGAAATTGTTAAGAAGAATCAGGATTCTAAGCTGGTTTGAGGAACAAAGGTGAGGTGGGATTATACCAGTGAGCTTGTTAGAGGACAAATCAACATTTTGCAGCTTCCCATTTTGACCAAGATCCTGGGGGATTTCTCCTGTGAAGTTATTCTTCCACAGAGCAAGTGTCTCTAAATTTGGCCACTCTGCAATGTAGTCTGGTATGGACCCATGCAATCTGTTCCCCAAGAGATTGAAAAGCTTGAGCTCCCTGAGATTGATGAACTCAAGTGGGATTTCCCCAGTGAGTGCGTTTCTGGAAAGATCAAGGTACACCAACTTGGTCAAGTTGCCTAGTTGTTTTGGTATGGACCCAGATAGCTGATTGATATGCAAGTAAAGAGTGTCAAGCTCTATCAAGTTTCCCAGTTCTTTTGGAATTGGACCGTCCAAATCACAGCTTGAAAGATCCATGTGAACTAAATTTACCAACTTCCCCAACTCCATTGGAATCCCACCTTCAAAAGAGTTGAAATAGCCCAAGTAAATCTCTCTCAAGTTAATGAGATTGCCTAACGCACCTGGGATTTTCCCTCGCAGATCATTTCCTGCAAGTGAGAGATATTCCAGCCCCACTAAATCTCCATAGCTTTCTGGGATTGTGCCATAGAAAAAGTTCCCTCCAAGATCCAAGTGTCTGAGCTTCTTCAAAGTCAGAACCCCCAATGGAAGCAAGGCAGTGAAGTTGTTGTTATAGGCATCAAGAACCTCCAAGTTCTCCATGGTGAAGTAGTTCCAATTCAGGGAACCACTGAACTGGTTGTTCGAGATGTTGAGATATTGAAGGCTGCTCAAGTTGGTGATCTCAATGCTGCCTGTGAAATTGTTTCCTGCAAGTGAAAGGTGGGTGAGCCGATCAAGTCTCGAAATTGAAGCAGAAACTGAGCCATACAGATTCAAATCCGTCAAGTCCAACGACACTACTCGACCACGGTGGCACTGAATTCCAACCCACGAACAAACTGAGCTTGAATTTGAGGTGGTCCAAGTACTTAGAGCAGGGGCTGGGAATTGAAACTCTTCTTTGAGTGAGGCTAAAACATGGAAGTCACTGGCCAAAGAGGATGCAGAAGCGTAGGAACCCAGAAGACAGAACAGGGTGAGAAGAATCAAGGGGACCATGTTTTGTTGGAACTTGGAATATGTTCTATGAAGATTGAGTTTGGAAACACTCGGAGCAAAGACGACAGGTTTTAAGCTCGGAGACAATAATGGATTTTCGGCAAAAGGGGAGAAAAGTGACAGGAATCTGAGAAACTTCAAGTGTGTATGATGAGCTTGAGGAATCAAACATCTTCACTGAAAGAAAGAGTCTTGAAATACAAGGGATGTAGCTAAGCCTCTCCTTTTCTCTCTTTCTCTCTTTCTCTTTTCTCTCTTTTGCTATCTTTTACTTTGAGAGCAGGGAACGAGAAGATGAATTCGGCTAAAATGGGTTTTAGCTGCTATATCTCTATTTCCCTTGCGGTTTTTCTTGAGGTAAAGCTCAGAGGAGGAAGCGAAAAAAGCACGAGAAAAAGGGATGAAAGAGAAGAGGTGGTTTCTGAAAATTGTTCACTGGGATAAATAAAATGAAAATCATAAAGACGTTGGATAACAGAAATTTAAAGTTTAGATTAGGGCAACCACAAAAAGTAAAGTTTGATGCTCTCTTTCTTTCTTTATTCATATGACAAAAATGCCCTTTAGCTTTAATCAAAGAATGCCCTTTATTGCTTTGAATGAGAGAGTAGGTGATGAAACTGCTCTTTCAGCGATTCCAAAACGGCTGAATTGCCCAGCAACTTCTTTCAAATGACCGCCATTCATCCCATGAAATTTTCATTTACAAGAAAAGGAAAATGAATAGTAAGCAAAGCAATCAATGATTGCCACTGTTTCATGCTGCCTTAAAGCAACAGTGTAGTGGGTCTTAAAATCAATTTTTTACCCTATATAGGCTAGCCAACAACACTGCCAATTTTGGGTTTGGTTTTGAGTGCCTGAACTTATATTGAATCAGGTGCAACAAGAGAGGCAAACACAAATGGCCAAATTCATTATTTGTGTCTGTTTTCCTTCAATTACACCCAGTGCAACATTGAAGAGCATCTCAAACCGTTATACCCTAAATACCCAAATGCTTTTAAGGGAGAGTGCATGGTTAATACTTATTCGTCACAACTTACAGTAGTGAAGAGAATAATTCTAGTCTGGTCTGGTGCATACACAGTGTGTGCTATAGTGTTACTCACAGTCTCATTGCTTATGATATATTCACCTCTTCTAGTACATTTATACTTTCAGATGTTTCAGCACATGATAACTGAAGGTGCGGGGAAAGGAAATGATATATGAGATATTGGGGTAGCTTAGGCATGATTAATAATCATATTACAGAGTAGATTTTCCAAGGGCAATATGAGTTCTTTTGATAATGCATGGAGGACCCATCGAAAAGCACTTGTGATGTTCTGATTATAATTAATTTTTTCCCTCAGATCAATCGTCATGCCATGCTGTCAGCATCATACGTGTCATTTTTCAATTGGTTGGGCAAAATCTTGAAGGGGGAAACTTTGCATGCCATTGTGCGTATCACTATCTTTCTATATTTTTGGCTTGCACAGGTTGGTGTACTCATCAATACGCTGATATTTTCCATTCCCAAACAGAGGAAGGGTAAAATGTCTTTGTCACAGTATCAAGAAGGGGTGAGAAGAATTTTTTAACTTGCAAAAAAAATTTTAATCTTGGAATTGGAAACATGTGCCTGCAACAATCAGAAGGTTGTAAGAAGTAAAAGATGATGATTATTAATATATCATGACTATGTGTTGGTTTGAATGATCAATATATAATTATGTTTGATTCATAGGTTGCATGGAAGAAGGAACCAGTGTGGAAGCTTTTTTAAGCCGCTGATGATAACTTTATTCTTTCTCCTTCCTTGCCCTACAGGGCAGGGAGCAACTCTCTATGAAATTGGGGGCATCTGAACCTCTGAGACTTTGCTTTAATATTTTTTGTTTAGTAAGACGGAATAGTCTTAAAGGGAGGGCTGGGAAAAAGCAAAAGCGGGAGGGAGGGAGGGAGGGAGGGAGATATATAATCTAATCTTCTTTTGATCTTCCACTAGCGCAAAAGAAAAGCAAAAGAAAAATCCATGACCCCCTTCTTTATCTCTCTCTCACATGGAAAAGAGTGCAGTTGTATTACCTTGAACTCATTCACCAACATCTTTCTCCCTCAAAAGGAAAATCCATGACCCCTCCTCATTCATTCATGGAAAAGCGTGCCCCTGTTTCTACAAGCACCCATATCTCTGTGATCTGTCTTCCTCCCAAATCCCTTGTGTAATTTAATTAGGATAGGCCATTTTGTTTTGCTCCACAAATTAAAGACCAAATCATGGGTTTACTTACCAATGGTTGGACCGGATGCATGAAACTTGATGCTCTTTAAAAGCCGGTTTTACATTAAAACGCCATGGTTGAAAAATTACATCCTCTGTTTTAGGAGGCCAGGGTCAGAATTTAGTTAGGAAGAGACATGGATTGAACGGCATTTATACAAAATTTGTGTAAACTTTAGAGCGAAAAATGCATGACACATTTATAATACTAAAATAGATTAAAATCTTGGGAGTCATGCTATTGGTCACTGCCCTGCAATGGCGAATATTTATCATAGAAAAAAACTCATGAATTTAACATCACTTTAGAAAATAAAAAACAGATGGTGGGAAAAGAAAAAAAATTGAGCTTTTATGTTCATCCACACTTTTTTATCACACACGGTCGTGTTTTAGAGGATTTAAATTATAAAAAAAACAACCAAAGGGGTGGTGCAGGAGCAGGAAAGACAAAGATACTGAGGTGTCTCTATCAGGAGTTAGTGATACAATGTCCTAGGCCTGCTCTGCCCTTTTGAGGCATCACTATCTTGTAGCTTGTCCTTCCGTGGTAAGGGTAAGAAAGAGTGCCCTTATCATGTGGTCACTTGCCTTGGATCTGAAAGTATTGGGTGAATTCTCAACATTGGCAAATGATAAGCCTCTTACCTCAATACCCATCATCTATATAAAAGCTAAAATCCAACAAGAAGCAACCATGATCTTAACCTCTGCTTTTTCAGAGATCTTTCATGCCTCATCATGTTTTCTCCACTTGACACTCACAACAAGCACCACCCCCACAATTTTAGTAGTTAATGTCAAAATCATGAAATTCTTAATTAGGAAAGCCTGATGAAAAGTTCCTCTCAATAAATTTTATTGATAACTCGAGTACCACTATTTTTATGCATGAAATCCTGCAAAACATATCAGATTTTTCTAGCTAACAAAATTTGTAAAACATATCAGATTTTTCCCATTAATTTAAGCGTAACTAAAGAAAAGAAAAAAGACAAATTCAAAGTACCAGTAATAAGGGATGACTCAATTAGTATTCTAATGGCCCATTAGGCTTCAAATTCAACTGTAAATGATTAATGCTACGTCATATTAGAGAATCTAGGTCCTTAATAAAACAAATCCCCATAGCCCTTTAATTCCTTCACTTGGAAAAGAGAGTGAAGGGATTGGTTATCTTGAGATTTAGCTAATGAAAAGATCAGACACTGTGACCACACATTTACTTTATTAAGTGGGAATGACAATACTAAGCTGATAGGATTAACCAGTCAAAATGTTACAACATTACACAATTAATCTAACAATCTAATCCGATATCTTATAGACTGTGTTTAAATGATATTCCTTTGTATGATGACGCATAGATGCTATATTGCAGGTTGAAAAAGGAAAAAAGAAAAAAAAGAAAAGGAAAAGGGAAAAAGAGGGGAAAATAAGGAAGAATACAAGACTTTACATCAATTAAAGTGTATTACCATATGAAATGCATAATGTAAAAGGGGAGAATCAGGTTCTGTGAGAGAGTCAAATTAAAGCAGAAGATGATTGGAATGTCAATGGGATTCTGCAAAATATATGATTCCTTCTTGCTCATCTCGTAGTACATATATATCTCAACTTGATCAAACACAACTCTCTCTTACACATCTACCCAATTTGTCCTTTATAATCTCCTTTGTAATTTAAGTATTTCTATAATTTTATATGATGATATGCATGTCTAGCTTTTATAACATTGTTATTGCCTTTTCTTATTACCTTCTGTACTTAATAATAAATGAGAAAAAAAATATATGAAGAGATTTGACAAGAGGGTGCATGATAAAGAAGAGATAACAAGAAATTAGGGGCAAAATTAGACAAAATTCATTAAATATTAACACGATTTCAAATTCAAATTTATAAGGTTTTGTTAGGGGTTATAATTAAAAGTACTTGTAAATATATAAATCAAGATAAAGCTCTTTGTATATATTTATTTTATATTTTATAAATTATGATTGAAAAATTATTTATAAATTATTTTAATTAGAATATAGTTTTAGGAAGCGCCTTGTAATTCGACTAAGAGGGAGCCAACGGCGACGTGTTTGGGAGGCAGATTTGTACTTCAATCCAATAATATGCTAAAGGAGTCACAATCTGATGAATTGCTTACGTGGATCATGTCGTGTGCTTTATAAAGTGACACATCACAATTGGAGTGCGCGTGCATTACACGATCCAATCAATGCAGGACAAAGTGCTTCATCCGCGGAGAGATCGATATCCACTCTCACATTCTGTGCTTGTGATGATACAGTATGCATGTGCTTGTACCATTTTGAGTGTCAACAAATTTGCTATTATAAAAAAACTACTGAAAATAGTGAACTACAACATTAAAAAAATAGGAAAATGAAATAAAAGAAATTAAAAATTACAATATTCTAATTTAGGGATTTAAAAAGTCAAAATCTCAAGGGAGCTAGTGGTGCCTAATATGATATTTTGCAAATATAATCAAACTTGATATGTCAAATACAAGTAACTTTTTTTGGCCTAACAAATACAAGTGAATTAGATTAACTACTAAGTATATATTATCCCAAACATTTTAGGGCTATGCAGAGGGTGTGAAGGACATAAGCATTAATTTCAATATCTCATACTCTTCCTATTTATAAACTATTCAGATTTTACCAACAGGATTAGGTTTAGTAGAAGGGACTAGTTCCTCACAACGTGACGAATCAAGATTCAAATGCCAACTAGGAGAGGTGTCCACATTTAGTGCCCGACAGTGTCTCGAATAGGATTACCTCCAATAAAAAGATATTTATACTTTAGCAAAAAAAATATTCAGATTTTGGGAAGAATATGATTTATTTTATAAATTTTAGTTTGAGTTTATCTCAACATTTAATATATTTTTCAATTTTGTCATCAATTATTTATTTTTCTTCATTTGTCACACTTTTTCTCACTATATTTTTCATACATTAATTTTCATTATTTTTCTCATTTATTATAAGGATATATTTGAAAATAAAAATATATTTTTTATATTTATTATTTTAACTAATTTTTTATTATACATAAATTAATTATTTAAAACCTATAATAAAAATAGAAGGGAGTAATTATTAGGGCCAATTTTTTTGCTACACCATCCAATGACAATTGATAAACAAACAAACAAATAAATAATTGCAAAAAATTTGGGAAACAGAAAATCAAAGTGGGGGTATGGAAGAAGAGAAAACCTTAAAAAAGGGAGAAAGGAAGAGAAGGCTG